GGAGTTAAACAAAGGTGGAAGTTCTGCAACAAGGAAAAACATTAAAAAATACACCATTGACAAGGAACATACCAGAGAACAGGATGGCCCAGAAACTTATTTATACTATGAAAATTAGCACTGGTGACAAATCAAAAAGCAAATGTAACCAAGATCACTGTCACAGATCAAAAGCTGCAGGAGACAAGGCTTGGATCAAGGTTTCTGGAATGCTTTATCAGTATCATCCCTTCACTTAGTTTAAAAGATTCTGGGATAGCAGCACTGTCTATTCAGAGACTAGTAATTCAAGCGCATGAGAAGAGAACCCCGACACTCCACAAAGCATATGACTATCCTGTCATCTTGTTCTACAGACCAGATGCCACATTCAAACCCACTGAATTACAGACTGGTATTTCCAGGGGACTGACATCTCTGCCCCCACCTGCACTAGACACCCAAAATAACCAGTGGAGACTCTATGCATGGATTCAACTCATTCCTTTAGGCGTTTTTAGACTATCATCCCGCCTTCCTGAGCAACGTACACCCCCACCACCTGTGAGAAAGAGCATTTAATACACCAGTGAGGAGGCAAGACCCCCACAAAGTATGGGAAAACAGTGTTCCGAACCAGCATCCTTTCATTCAACATGGCCAGTGGAAAAACTCTCACCTGGCAGTAAAGGACTTCCTTCTCCTCTGTTCATGGACAACAGTCAATAAACAATTCAGTGGTCACAGGACAAACACTGCTGGTACATAACAGTGACTATACAGTGGACACCTTAAACACTTCAAACCTTGCACTGATCAAATCCTTAAGCAAAGCATGTACAACTGGTCACACAACTGATGCAACATAAAATACACCACACATAGCAAGCCTGGAGTAGCTTAACTGCCACTTGGAGGATCCTATTTTTTCAAGTCACCTGTGGAAGCATTATGTATTATTCATGGTTGCAAATTATTCCTAGACTTGGAAGACATTTCTCCTAGTTACCACCACCCTGCAGGTAACCAGGCACAACGCAAGATGCATTAAGTAAGTAACTGGGATACACGAATGGCCACATTTAATAGTCATGTTTGTATGTAGCTGTTAAGTGCTTTAGATATCAATAGCGAAATACAAGAGAGAGCCCTCAGGCTTACTTCTATCAGGCACCAGTCTGCACACACGAAGTCCCAGCAGATCAAGAAATACCAGTCAGAAAGATCATCCGATCAAACAGTGTTACAGGGGAAAAGCCCTTGCAAAGGTATTTTGAGTTGTTTATTTGAACTAACCCAAGCTACAAATCAAAGTGGTGAAGAATGACAGTTTATACCTAGTAGGGTCTTTATCTGTCCTTTGGAACAGTAGCTATATTTGACACTGTCCTTAACACATTAAGCTACTTATGGAAAAACATAACCTTTGGGTGTGATTACATCCACGAAACTACTTCAGACAATCAAAGCACGAAGCACAGCTCAGCAAAGTTTCTGAGCATCAGCGCTGGAAGCATGAAACATGTTAAAGCAAATGCTGTCCCTCAGCAGGAGGGCACAGAACTCAACCAGTGACCTGCTTTCACAAACAGCTTCCACTCAAGGCAGCAGAGGTGACCTGAGAGAACAGTCTTCAAGAGTCTATTTCAAATTCCTTGCATCAGCAACCATGTAGGAACTTACTCTCAGCAGAAAGCCCCAGTAAATCCACCTATAGTTATCAGCAACAACTCATCTTTCCTTAACATAAACAGCCACGTGGCTCTGCTCTGCAAAGTGCTGACCGCAAACTAGTCACAGAAACAGAATTTCAGCTCAAGCACAGTATCATGCTACCCAGAGAAATGCTACCTTGGCTCTGGAGCTAGCTCACATCCACCCAACTCAAGGCAATATGAGGCTGCTGAATGCTATTTTTCAGGTAGACTTCTCTCACATTCGTGTGGTCTCTCAAAACACAGCAGTTGAGGCACACGACTTCCTGTGACCTTTCCTTTTCTCTCCCATTATTTTAGTGACGAGCATCAGGCATTTATCCAGAAATACAGTTCACTTCCATACTTCACTGGGGAAAACGATGCACAATAACGATGACCGGGACTACGGTATCCTCAGGAAGGCATTTCTGATGGTCTGCACACTCCTCACTCATCTAAAACTCCAGTCAATGGAAAGCTTTTTGTGTACATCCTCAAGTGACCACAGAACCTTACAAAACACACCCTCTCACACAGTATCCAGTACCCAGGACTCGGCACCAGCATTAGCTCATAAATAATGGCAAGTGGAATACTCGCCCCTCCAGCAAAGCAATACAAGGAAGCTGGACTGCTGTCATTGGAGAGGCACATGAAAAATAGACAGTGACATTGCCACTTGCTTGCAACACACAAACTGTATCAGATGGTACCAATCTGGAGTTGCTGGAATACTAGTGAACTAAAATCTGTACTCAAGCAAGAACCTGTCTGGCCAAAGCCACAAGCTGTTTAGTAAGTTCATAGACAGTCCTCTGGAAGCAATTTAATCCAAACCAACATGCTGTAGTATTTGAAGGCACGATGCCAAATTTAAACTATTCTAATTGCTCCTCGTGGCAGGTACACTGGCTTCTTTAGAACCCAATACAGCAGTAATTTCCCATATTCCTTAACTCCCAGTTCCCGAGCAGTCAATAAATATTTCTACCTTCAGCCTAGAAATGCAGGAATATGTAAAAGCTTCAAGAACTGCTCAGCTATTAAGTTACATCCAAAATTAGAATCCAATTGGAAAATACAGCTAAATGTTACTAAAGGCGCGCTATCCTGGGCTGATTTTATGACTCAATCAACACAGTCCTCGAACATCTGAGTCTCAACATCCTCAATCCATCGCCATAAAAATAAATGGCTATATGGGACATCAACTGTCTGCTCGGAGAATTTCAAGGAACCCAGAACCTCATTCAGAGGAACCGAAGTCCCAAAGCTAATCCACCCTTCAATTAGTTATAAACGCGGCTGGGCTTATTTATAGCAGGAAAAAGAAGAAAATCAAAGCTGTTCCATTCCAGCAGCAGCTCTTTACCCCGTGTAATATTCAGCTCGTTACCATAAGCTTTTACTTTCATTGCAATAAGCGACGCTTTCGGAGCTGCCTTGACGCTCTAACCGTATCATGACAGCACAGCGCGCCGATTCACCCGCGATAGCCCTCACACGCCAAGCGGGGCCTGCGGAAGGCCAGGACCAGCGGCGAAGGGAAGAACCGGTCCCGGTGCGGAGCAGCCGAGCCGAGCCGAACCGAGCCGAGCCGAGCCGGGCCGGGCTCCCCCGCCGAGGAATGGCGGCCCCGCTCGGGGGTCTCTCCCGAGAATCCCGGCAGCGGCGCCATTTTAGGAGGCGATGAAAAGGCGGGAGGCGGAGCCAGGTCCCAGCACAGCGGGAGGGGGCGCGGATCCGCCCGCGGAGGGACCGCGGCTCGCCGGGCTCCCCGGCCCGCTCCCCCCACCACCCCGCCGCCCGAGAGGCCGCGGCCCGCCAGGCCCGCTCACCCCCAGCGCCTTCCCCGGCTCCGCGGCCGCTCGCCTTCCCGCCGAGAGGCCGCGGCGGCCCCGGCACGGAGCGCCGCCTCCCGTCAGCGACCAGCCCCTGAGTCCCTGTGCCGCGGCCCCAGCGCCGGCCGCTCCTCACCTTCTCACAGAGGCTCTTCACCTGTCCCTCGGAGAGCTGCTTGCACTCGTTGAGCTGCTCCACCCACTGGTCGAGCTCCTTGGTGAAGACCTTCTCCTCCATCCCGCTCTCCCCCTCCTCACGGGCCGCTGCTACCACCGCACCACCCGGGAGCTCCCTGCGATCCGCGCTCCCAGCGGCAGGACGGGGCGGACGGGGCCGGGTGCGGTGTGGGGCGGGCGGCGCGGCACGGCGCTCCCCGCTGCTGCAGCTCTGCCGCCCGCTGCCTCGCACCACACCGTGTAATGGCCGCCGCTCCTGACGTCACCGCCTCGGCTTCCACTACGGGGAGGAGGAGGGAGACGCCGGAGGGGGGAGCTAACGGCGCATGCGTCGCCTCTGGGCTGGACCGCGCTTGCGCGTTGGGGAGGACCGGAGCAGCGGCGGGACGGGGCTGGAGCGCGGCTGCGCATGCGCGGAGGCACAAAGCGGAGGGGCTCAGTGTCCGTGAGGGGATGGAGGGAGGAGGTTGTGTCTTCCTCTGAGGTGCGGGGTCCGCTGAGGGGCTGCCGGCTTCACCCGCCCCAGCACCGCGCTGGGCCGAGACCCAGTGGTCTTCTCAGCGGGGGTCCAGCCAAGGGAGGCGGAGCGGCCCAGCCCGTAGCGCTGAGGCGGGAGGGAAGGGCGCTGCTGTGAGGGGTTGGTGGTTGGCTGCGGTGGTTCCCGCTCCTGCCCGGGAGAGCCGTTAGGGCAGCGAGGCGGTCGGTCCCCGTTGCACAGGGAGCAGGGACGGGGCAGAGCGCCTGGCTGCTGAGCGCTTGTTGGGTGTCTCTTGTGTTTGCAGTCGGTTCGCGGTGCTGGTGCTTCTCTGGGTATCCTGAGGAACATCACCGTGTTCCTCTGGGAACAGGGGAGCGGAGGGCGCTTGGTGGTGGTGGGTGCTTAGAAATAAATCTTTTCAGCTCGAGCATGAGCGTTAAATAATACCTGGTTTGTGCCACCACGTAGTGCTGAGGTTAAAAAGGCTGTTGCGTTTTTTGTCTATGAGCCGTTTATACTGAAAGAGTTCTTGGAAGATTTGGGTTTATTATGACCCTTTAGGAGAGAAAGTGAGGTGCAGTGTAAGCTTTTAGCAAAATACAGGAAACTAAGAGTGGAGCTCAGCTCCTTTGGTGTACTCAGACATTGCTTTCTACCTAAAAGAAAAGATGTCAGAAAGAAAGAAAGAAGATGCAGTAAGAAGGAATGAAAGAAACAAGCATCTGTGATTTGTAGCAGATTAAGTATTTTATAGCATTTGGTATCTTAAGTTACAGACGTATTGGTCAAAGCAAAATTTCCCTTTAAATAACCTCCAAAAGATGATTTTGTAATTTAAAAACCCTACATTCTTTCACTTAAACAGCTCAAAATTTGGACAAAACGTACCCTGTTGGTATTGCCCAATCCACAAAGACTTTTCCTGGATAATAGGTGGCAGTTGTCTCAGGGTTTGCCCAATACAGGCTCTAGATTGTTAAATTCTTTGTGTACTGTTAAAACAAATCACCAATTATACAGTGAGCAAGAAGAAAAGAATGTTTGCTTTCCTAGGTCAGTCTCGGTTTCTTGGTGTCATACTCTCCCAGTCGACACCAGTTTGTTCAAATGACTTAATTCACGTGGTTTGGTTTTCTTCCAGGATGCTTTTGCTCTTTCTACATAAGTTTCCCTCTTCAGATGCGCTTAGTTTTGTACTTAAAGTAGTAGAAGGTGAAGTTGTTACACACTGAAAAATGGCAGGCTTCAAGCATTGCACACCTAAAGTAATCTTGAACAGATAAATGCAAAGAATATGAAGCAATAACATACTCTCTTGTGTAACTTGCCAAGCTAAAGTTTATTATCTTCAATAGCTGTTGACCTCCTGGCATAGTCAGATGTTTTCAGACCACATTTAGCTCTGTATTTCCCACACAGATAGTAAAATTCTTGATGAAACTTGTGTAGGTTACACCTTTGAAGTCCTCGTGGTGTTGGTATTACAGTTAATTATGCTTCTCTCTATGAAAAAATCCTCATTACTCTTAGTTTTTACTTATTTACCACAACTTTCAGAAAAATCTGGACCTACAACTTCACTACTCTTTGCTACTCTATTGCCTGCACCCATCTGTGTTTCTGGAATAGGAAATATGGAATAAGAGAGGAAAAATAAAACCTCCTCAGCATCAGGGAACTATTCATGTGGTTTATTCACTTGTGAAACTACAGCCAGAGTCCTGTGATATCTGCTAGGTGTGGGGAGAGCACAGCTACAGTGGGTTAGACAGGGCTCCTTGTAGATGGCAGTAGTAATGACTGCTGTCTTCAGAGCACTTGTGATGGTTCCCAAACTCACAAATGGCTCACAGGAGCAATGAGAAAAGCTCCTAAGAAAGGAGCCTTTTTTGCTTGAAAAGACTCAGTTATAGCTCTTCACTGGCAGGACAAACAGCGCTTTGGAAGGGGTAGGTGATTCAGTGCTTGCTGCTTGCAGCTGAAGCCATGCCATTGACTAGGGGAGAATTCAGGATTCAGTTATTTGGATGCTCACAGAGAAGGGGGAAGCTTTGGCTTCCATCTCCATGGCAAGCATTAGCTCTGTATTTTATCAGGTTGTTTTGAATAGTCTTTATGTGGATCAGAAATTAGGTCTCATTCCTCCCTCCTACTTGAGAGCCATAATCAATAGCTTAGAGAACCATGGCTGCTTTTCTCTTCTTTCTCAGATAGTTATCTGGGCCTTCAAAGGAGAACAAAATAATGACAGAATACCCATCGTGTTGCATAAGCTGGGGGATTGTCAGTGTCTCAGATACACAGTAAGATTGCACGGTGAGTTGTGAGATGGCAGTGATACCCCTTCACATTTAGTATGTGAAATACCCCAGGTTTTTGTGTGTGGCTTGTAACTAAGGAGATGGGCTGGGTGCGGTGATGAGTCAAGGGCAGCCCATGCTGCTCCACGCAGTCCCAGCACTTGAGTCAGTGATAAGTGTGTGCATGGCATTCCTTAAAAAGGTGAACAATTCCAGCTCACCGCCCTGAAGTGCTGGAACACAGAGTTGGAAGGTTGTTCAGCTTCTTTGCAAAGCCACCTGTAGTGCCAACTAATTGTGTAACGGGCTGAAATGAGTCTGGAGCTCATTGATGAGTGTGTCAGCAATTGCAATAATCTTATCAGTTACTGTAGTAACAGCACTGTAGTAACAGCAACGTTTCCATTGCAGTGTAAGAGACAGCAGTCAGTGTTTAAACTCCAGATTCATATTGCTACGTGAATGTAGTGTTGATTACACGTTGGAGAGTGAGGAACACATAAACTAGTTTTCTCAAACTTATCTATCTCCTTGAATGTTTTACGGGTTCTCAGTTACCTGTCAATGCATGTTTGCAATGTCTATTGCTGTGGTGGTTTAAGGGTAAAGGCAGATTTAAAAGTCTATATGATATTGTAATAATGAGTTGCCACCTTTTGATGCAGGGCTGGCTTCTTTGATGAGTAGATTTTTTTGGTGAGCAAAGAGTATAGGCACTGATATTTCAGGGGAAAAGGGACTCTTCCTGATCAGACGTGGTCAGAAGCGTACAACATGTACCCTCTCCCATATTCAGATACTGAGACAAAATATTATACATTTTGTGTCTTAATAGTCCCATTAAGTCCGATAAATCCTGTGATCTGTAGCAGAACAACTGCAAAAGATGGGAGCTAGAAGCTATTTACGTCAGATATTAGTGTTGTATCAGCATGAGCAAGTATTTCTGTATCTTTGACTCATACCAGAGTCCAGATAGCGTGTGACAAAGCCACTGACATCAGTAACACCACTATCAGGGGAAGCCTCCTCACTTCAACAGTTCAATTAACTGGCTTCTGCAATGGGTGGAATCTCATTATTAATCATCTTCTATACCACAAAACATGGTACTTGAAATTTGCTAGTTCATAGTTTGCTCTGGTGCTGTAGAGAAAGCAGAAGTGTGCAGTCTTGCTGAAAGAAATGGTTACAGACTGAAAATCACATTTTCAAGTCGCTATGGATACAGATATTTCCTAGTCAAGACCCTTTAAAAAGCTAAGGAAAGGGGGCTCATTCACAAACAGTAGGATTTTAAGATTTTGCAGCTATTTGTGTTCTACTTTCTCCCCACGAGTACTAAACACTGCTTTCAGCTTGTGCATTGCCACTGGCTCCGGTCACTGAAGTGGGTGCATCGCTGAGCACCTGAGCTGTGTTCCTCCTCAGTCTGAAAGTGCTATGTTATCACCTCACAGTTTTAATCTTTAGAGCACTTGACAGGTCCTCCCACTGCCAGGACAAATGCTATCACTGTCATGGCCAAATAACCTAAATGTGAGGAAACAGATACTGAAGTTAATCAACTTTACAAACATGACAGGAGCATTTAGAGACCCCAGTTCAACAGATACTTAAATAGATGTTTAAATTCCTTTCTTTTAAACAAATAATGTAAATACCTGTGAAATACCCCTGCTAAGCTTGCTCTTGGAGGCTTTAGGCTTTCTGATTGCTGGGGTGGTGCTTTGATCACCTCCTGTTACAAGTACTTTCTATAGAAAAGCTCTCCTGTTGTTCAGTCCTTTCCATAAGCTACATTTAAACACCCAAATTATTAATACATACAAGCAGTTGTCATGGAGACAGTATTATCCAAAGTGGGGTTTTCTTAATAAGCGGCACAAAGTTGGCACATCCCACATGCCTTGTACAGACAATTCCTGCGGAATGTTTCCTGCGTTACACATGGGATAGATCCGTTTCTTTGCTTTTCATGCCAGCATGCTCTGGAGAAACCACTCTTTCTGGCTTTCAGATGGCTGGCTTTAGGAATGTGAAAAATGTAGGAGCTGTAAGAGGTGTTGGGTTTAGTTCAGGTCATAAGATCTTAGCAAGGGGCCATACAGCTCATTTCTGTGAGCCCTCAAACACAACGTGACAGCTGAATTAGGGCTGAAACCACTGTGGGATATATTTTCTCTCCTCATCTTGGTGCGTACACTTACAGCAAAATGCAGTAACTAATCCAAAAGCAGGCAGTTGGCTGATGTAGCTGGGGAGGCTGCAGGGCTGTGATGATGGTTGTTTTCGCTGGAACAAAACTGCAATCGTATTAAATGCCTATAAATCCAAGAGGACCTGGTGCTGTACCTGCAGACTTAAGGGTATTAAACCTGAACTCTCTGAGATGTTTTGCCCATACTTGTCATAATACTTCTGCTTTTTAACTGTGCCCTTGCAAAGTAGCACACAGCACAGTTCATCTGATAAGTAGGACTCTTTCTACCTTTATTCTGTGCTTCCTTCTTTTGTCTTGTCCTGGAGATCCTGTTACACTTATGCCAGGCAGCACCTAACTGATGATGCGGACATTCTGTAGCCTATTTATTTGAGTGAATGGATGAGATTCTCTTTATGTTATAGTTACTGCTTTCTCTTTTTTTTTTCCCCCAGATACTCTTCAGTTAATGCTACATCACAGTTACTGTCATAATGACCTTCATCTGGGCCAGGCAACCAGAGAATAAAGTTACAGAAAGACTGCAAAAAGGATTGCAGCAAGAAAACATGAGGTAGTCCTTCCTCCCTTTGCTGCCAGGTAAATGTCTGTTTCCTTCATAGCACCGCCAGTATCTTGTAGAGAAGGAAGCATGAACCCACTGGGGCTGTACCCATGACTTTTAGAAGCATGTTAATACCGTACCCGTGTTGGTTTGGAGATGTCAGTTGTCTTGTGTGACAAACAGGTCCACAAAGCCTGCTAAAGATGGCTTGGCCAAACCACCACCAGCTCTTGAGCTGGATTCCAAGCAGTGCTGTGTCCTGGCTGCTCCTTAAATGCTTCCTCCAAATAGAGAGACCAGGGAGGGAAGTTTCCTTTTGAAATCTATTTGTGTATGTGCTAAAGGACAAAGGAGATCCATGATCTAGTCACTGCACAGGCACACTTATTCTTAGATCATGATTTTGTTTCACTGTGGTTAACAAGTGTATTATTAGTAATAGCTGGTTACAAATAATAACCTGGCCTTATTTTTAACCTAATACTGCATTGGATTTCATTGCAATAGGTGGGTTCACTGCTGTGCTTTGCTCTTTGAGTATTATCTTTCAGAATTTCAGTGCCTTCCATCTTCAGCATTAAAAATAGGTGTCAAGTTGAGTAATTATTATCGCTCCAAATCTCATGTGCAGCCTTACATAACAGTGTTCTCACCAAAAGCCTGATTTTAAGGGTGGAGTGGAAGAACATGCTGCGGCAACCTGAAATTATTTGCTCTACTGTAGCAGGGTTATACAGAGCCCAGATAGAACTGTTTCTTCTGAGGAAGCACTGAGAGCCAGTCTAATATTAATGAAAATAATAATGTGTGGAATGCCTCAACTTTGGCATTATGTTGTCAGCACTCCTCAGTCCTGAGTAGAGGCCTTCTTGACAATCCTCTGTTGCCCAAGCAGAAACTACCATTCATGCCAACTCAGTGACAGTCCAAATACTTGTGAGTTTAGTAACAGCAAATATATAAACATGCAAAGTGAAATAACAGTGGCAAATTACTTGGAAAGAGACTATCCCCAGCTGGACGGAGCTACCCTTGATAAACCTGAACTTCCTCATTAGTAACACTGTGTTCATAGGCAAAGTGCTGTCTGTTTTTACTAGCTAAGACTGTTTACCCTTCCAACGGTGAGCTGGGTTCCTTATGTCCATCATACTCATGTCACTTTGGAAGGACAAAAAACAGTTGGGAAGAGGCAGTGGTCAATCCTGAGAACATCAGGTACCTTCTTTTAACTCTAACAAACTCTCAGCTCTCGTGGTGATCACAGTAACAACAAACCCTGATCTCTTCTATTTGCATAATATATTTTATTGTTTCATCCCCTGTTTCATTGCATGCTGTGACCTTCTTCCTTCATCGATGCATCAAAGCTGCATCATTCTTCCTGATTGCCATTCTTCTCTTCCATCCCTTTTCCTGTGCATAACTTCCTTTCCTCCCCCCTTTCAGCCTCATTGAATCAGATTTAGCCAAATGATCCACAACTGCTGATAAGCTCTGGCAATTGCATATAGAGGCTTTTCTTCCTGAGGTTGTGCATAGCATGAAAATAAAAACCACACTGTTATAAATTTGACTAATAAAAATCTTACATTTGGCAAAAGTGTGAGAAATGGCCATGAATGGACCTGTTAATTTCGCTGCTAGATGGTGATGCCAGAACTCTTGGCATTCTACCTGGAGCTGGGATCTTACTGTCAGGGTCTAACTTCCTTTTTGATGTCTACAACATTAGTGATGGCTGCTGAGTGTGTTCCCTGGCACAGTAATGTTCTCCTCATGTTAGACCTAGAATGTGCACAGCCACTGAATCCTACAGATGCTGACCCTCAGCTGTTGGAGACTCAAGCCAACAGATTCTCCAAGTTTGTAGGCTTAAAGCTGGGCTCATGTTGTGAATGCTGAGTTCCAGCTGTGTTAGCTGAATCACTAACTGAATTTCACTCACAGGCAGTAACTGCATCTAAAAGTGTCAGTCTCTGTGTATTCCAAGGCATGAGCTAGTTCTAACCTTGCTGCCATGGTACAGAGATTTACTCTAGGTGTACGTATCTAGCACAAACATGACGTTAATTTGTACACTTCACCAGTACTGGTTTTCCTCCTCAGATTACAAACTGAAAAGATCAATGAAATGATGACTTGTTTTTGTGAGATGAATGGGAACTCCATAATTAATGATACCAGGTATATTAGCAGAGGGAAGAACTAGTTTCAGAAGACTGTCATTAACTTGAGCAATTGGAATTGTTCAGTTCCATAATGGATGTGTATTTATTACAGCACTGCATGAGTGGAGAGGCGATGGAGGGTCTATTACAACAGTGGTGCACCTTATCTGCACAGAATGAGAGGCAGAAGTTTGCTGGCTTCACAAGGGAGCCTCTCCAGCATGGAACGCTCTGGGACACTGCACAGCAAGTTTAATTCTGATTCATGTTTTACTATCAAAAATCACATGTAAAACCCTGGCTCACCTCCCTCAAAGAGTGTTTATTTGGGAAGTGGCACCTTCCAGGCACTGAAGCTCTGATACAAATTGGCCTCAACAGAGTAAGTGTTAAACATCCCATTCTTGTGTTGTAGCTGTTCCCTGGTGAAGTCCCTCAATGTACGTTTTCATAAATTGCCCTCTCTGTCCTGACTGTAGTTATACTTCCCTTAAAAGGTATCTATTACAGCAGAAAATCAATGCTATTCATTCTTGTAGTAGTCCAAAAAGCTTTACTGGTATAGCTACTGCTGCTCTATTTTTTTGACAGTGTCCAATTGGAGGCAAATGTACCAAAATATGTCAAGACTTACTCATGTAGAGATAATATAGCAAGTGAAAGAATTTCCACCATAAAGGTGTGTACATTACAATAGCCTTGAGATAGGGCTGACTTCTTCCAAAACAAGTTCTTCTGGTTTTATGTGACTATTTAATATACTTCTGTGTTCAAGAAAAGAATTCTTGCTCTTACTCTGTACTAGGAAACCAGTATATCAGGAGGCACCATGGGCTGGGGAGCAGATCGGGAGACAGGAGGTGTCTCTTGTATATGTTTAAAGATCTTCAGGGCCATTTCAACTCCCACTTCCCCTTCAGTGCAGTGTTTCAGCTGCTATTCATTTTACTAGTTCTATGAGCAGGTATTAAGCTGAAATATGCATTCTTCAAAGTCTAAGGGATCTTTAACAGAAAAGTCAGAACAATTAGGTAAAGAAACTCATTATTATGCCTGTGAATGAAAGAGCTTCTGGGCAGTGTCACTGAATGCAAATACTTGCATTTTGTTCATCTGATTTAAATATAAATGCTTTCTCCAGATCATCCAGGAAAAAGATATATATATATTCATTTTAGAGAGGCTGACTACTGACAGAGGGTATCTATACTGTGGCTTTTCAGTTACTTCATTTCTGTACTCTCTTCTGCTCAAAAAATAACCTGTTCAGTGATTGCAGACAGAAAGGCAGTTTCATTTAACCTGAAGCTGTGTCTATGATGAAGTCAGGAACACAGCACTGGACAATAAGATTTCTAGGTGAGGTAGTGACAAATCATGTATCTTCTTGAAACTGCCGATACATATTTGTCAAGCAGGGGTGCTTCCAGCAGACTAGAGCTGCCTGTCAAGTGAAACCATGTGTGCTGGCAGCTGAGTACAATAGGTACCTGTGCATCCAGATCACTCCTGGTCCTCTTTTTTATGATGGGATAGTGAGTTGTGCTTTTTTGTTTTTGTAATTAAAGGGTGAGCAGATGGTGAGAACTTGAAGAGCTGCATCCATTAAATTAATGTTGAGAATGTCTCTACATTATAATTTAATATAATGGGATTTTCCTTCAGTGAAGTAAAACTACAGTGTAGTACTTGGGAATGTTTACTATAGAGAAGCTTCACTGGTAAAAGATTTCACTGACTCACACTGTGACTTGCTGCCAAAAGGGTGTTTCTTCATGCCAGTATATTTCACATGCCACCCTAGAGTGAACCTTTTTTCAACTACACACCTCCAGATTTATGTAACACCAAAGGGGACAATGGAATCTGACTGCCTGTGTTATAAAAGAGTAGATAGTAACAAGCAGGAGCTGGCTGGGCTGGTATTGAGAACAGTGTAACACGGGTTGGGTTTGACATGATTTCAGAGGTGTATTTAAGGGAGACAATCCAGATCAAACATTGAGACTGTTAAAAACTCGGTGTTTTGTCAGTTCCAGGAGTTAAGGTGCTACTCGTTGGATGACAATTCCATAAGTGGAGAGAACAAACTTTCTTATTTTTCATGAGACAAGAGTTTTAGTGACACAGGTTAAAACAGAAGAAGAAAACCCAACAGCAGTGACATGACTTTTATCAGCAGCAGTGGACACTGGTAGGTTTTCCTACATCTCAGAAAATATACTCAACTATAAATATTTGAGTGAAACTTGCCGAAGCCGCATTTTGGGAATCCTGTGTTTTATTCCTGGAATGGTTTTGAACGGTGGAAAGTTACAGCAAATGCTTTGTGCTGGTGATTCTGTACCCAGCTAGCTCCAGCTGTAGATACATAATACTGGTCTCCCACGCAGCTCCACCATGGCTGCAATCACACATTGTCTCCTGCATACAAAGGCTATTCCTCTAATAATCAGACACTGGGATAGGGATGAAATCATTATGGAAAATAGTACTAGAAAGAACACAAAGGCTCACAGTGGGCCCAAATGTCTCTGCTGCAAGCCTTCTGCCATCTAAATTACACCACAGATTAACCTGCCTCAATGGCTACAGAATGAGAAAACTAAAGGGATGAGCACACACACCATAGAAAAGTTTAAACTGCTCTTCCCTGCAGTGTAATCTGTGAAATCACTCTTACACTGTGTGGGAATAATTGGGAGGTCACAGAGGATTATGTGGGCATTTATGTTTCATTCTGGCTTAAGTGTGTTCAACTCCAGTGATAGCAACCAAATTGTTTCCATCTTCAGTAATGCTGCACTTGCTCCTAGGGCTGAATGCAGAAATAACAAGTTTATTAACTGCACATTTATCTCCCGCTGAGATCTCAGGTTTTCAAATTTCAGCATTCAGCTACTGAAACATCGTGTCAGAAGTGCTGAAGCTTCTGTGGAATTGAAGAATAGGATGTTAATAGTGTCAGAGTAGAACAAAGCTGAACGTTGCTCCAGCGGCAGCCAGGGAACCTGACACATAGCACTTAAGTCTTCACCTACCACTGCATGAAATAAAACCTATCACTCCCTTGTCCCTGTTTCCCGTTTTCTTCCCTCTACTTGTATAATCTCTTGCAGAAGTAATGGCTCCTGCACTGGCTGTTTCCCACTTCTCTATTTTAACTGTTAGCTTGTCCTTCCTCCCCTTCAGAAGGTGGGGACTTCTGGTTTGGAGAAACAGCCACACAGCTGAAGTAAAGCCCATGGTGCTACTGAGCAGTTTCTCCTTTGGCATCATATGCTCTTCCGACTGCAGCGGAGCCCATCCTAGGAGATAATTAGCAGCTATATTCAAGTGACTCAGGGGAGGATTCGAGCTCTGCATTTTGAGAGGCTGTTTGTGTATCTGATGTAATTTTGTCTCATCACAGTCTGCCTGAGCTTTCTGTGCAACGAAACAAAGGGGAGAATTAACCAATGAGTCCAAAATACTTACACTGGGAAAATAACTATTTTGTTTTAACAGCTGCTGAGACTTTTTCTCCATTGAGCCTAAAGAGCAGAGGTTTTAGAGGTCCAGCTTTCACTGTCAGTAACACCCTACAGCCACCAAGAAAGGAAATCCATCTGAAGCACTTCAGAGTAATGCTTGATGTAAGTAAGGTGCTTTTGTCTAACACAATCTCTGAAAGTCAGTCTTTTCACTTGGAAAATGCACTTCTGCAGTTAAGCAACTGTTTCAGGTTTCTTAAGCATTTATCCACATGTGCAGTAAAATACTTAATCATTTTAATAGTAATCCCTCTGCAGAAAATAATTAAAACCAGATAGAAACTGATGTCACGGAGCAGACCTTAGAGCTGTGGCATCTGGACATTTCTGCATTGGGAAGTTATTTCTTTTTTACTCATGGAAGCACCTTCTTTTTCCAGGGTTCTTCCAGCAGGCAGGTTCCTGTCAGGATTTCCTCTTTCTGTGGTGTTATATTTGCTAACTCTACAGTATGGCGCATATAGACACATAATTCCTAATTTTCCAGGGGGAAAGCATAGAGCAGCAGAGATCAGTTGATTTCCTGACCACCCTTCTAAATCCTGGTAATTGTTTGTATCTGAACACTCTCTTATGGCGAAAGCAGCATATTGTAATAACTCCAGAATAGGATTTTCCATCAGTACCTCTCAGTGGGCTTTGCAAAGTCACAGTCACCTCACAGATGAGGAGTCTGATGTTCAGCAGTGAGATTATTTACCCCGGACCATTTTAGCCAGCAGCACAGCAAGGCAGGAACATGATCTAGAGAGCTCGAGGCTTGTGTCAAATCCAGTTGGCTATTTCAAATGGAAAATGTTTTATTATTTATTCCTGGAGGATTTGCTCTGCCTTTCACACCTTTTGGGGTGTTTTTTGAGCCTTATAGGTACTGTTTCTCTTTCTGGGATGTTCAAGGTATGCTCCTTCGTCTCCTGAGCTGGGATGCAGAGAATGCAATCTGTGTTTCTGAGCTCTAGCCCTGAGCCAATCTGAGCTTTTCCTGGATTTGGTGGCTTTAAGTCCCCATTTCCCTACTTACCCAGAGCCCTCAAAGTACATTTTTAGATAGGATTATATGGGAAAAAGCATTAGGAGAGGAAGGGATTTTAAAAATAGCCTAGCATCTAAATCTCTTCCAACTGTTCCAGCATTTGAGCATCGGACAGGGGGCTGGTATCAGTAAAGAGGAGCCCTGTGTAGGATGCACACTTCACAAATAATAATGAATTGAAAAGTGTTTGTTACACCCGGATGATGTCACTAAAGGTTTATCTATAGTAAATCTGCTTTCTTCAGAGGGTCAGTGGGGCTTTTTCACACCCACACCTGATAACCCATTAGGCAGCTGTGACAGTAGCTGTCAGTCAGGCTGCATTAATCCTGCCACAGCAGGGGCACAGCCCCCACGTTACCAGCCTGGCAGCAAGTCACTAGGCAGAGCAAGAGCAGGAAGGCTGCACTATCCTGAGGCTTCAGTTTAATAACCAATGCAAGACTAAATAGGAAGAAATTAAGTCGTGCCCAAGATGTCCAATTTGATGGTATGACTTTCTGTTTGGTGTTATCCAAACCTCTGTTCATATTTTATGTATTTTAATTGCTGAATAAGTAGTTACCATGGTATAAAGCCACATAATAAATATTTTAAACTTCCACACAAGAATAGTGCTCTTTATTTTCTACCATTTATTTTGTTAACATTCCAGGCTTTTCATAGCTTTCCAGTCCTTTGATAGTCCTACTATCTCACTTAGGGTGTCTGTATGTTTTTCCTAGCAATGTCAGTGACCACCTGGAAAATGCAACAGAGGAAAGCTCATGGAAAATCCTAAATATGGGACAATAAATAGGACGAGTTATTGCAATAATAAGTGGAATTTGCTTCCTAATTCCTATGATAAAAAGGCTTCTAGACCTCACCACTCATGAACTCGTCCAGCTTCTTTATTAGCTTTGCTGCTCAGCAGGATTCTTCAGCTACTTTACAGACACCTTGCAGTACCAGATGGTGCAGTGATCAAGCAGAAATTGCTTCTCCCCCAAAATACAGGCTGGACAAGAGAGCCCCAGAAAGGCCTTCCCACTAGCCCCAATAACACAGCTTCCATGTAACCCAAACTCCTACCAGTTCCAGTTAGACGTGTGGAGCAGCAGTTCAGGTCGCTTCCACTAGGTATTTGTCTAATTCTGTCTCTTTTACTGCCTCTGCAGGTGATTTATCCTCAGTTCACCCCTGTGAACACCAGCAGTCAAGGTACTGCCTGATCTCTTCAATCACCCTGTAGTAACTCACTACTAATGAGTGACTGGTCATCGTGCTGCAGAGCATCCTCAGTCGGGCTGGTAACAGAAAACAGCAAAGGTAATCATCAAATACCTGTTAATTTCCTGTTAGGTTTTTAATTGGAATTTCTCTTCTCTAACAGATCTTCTTCCAGAAAGGCATGTTTGCATCTTTTCCCTAATCATACATGATTGTGCAGATTCTTTGTACGTTACCTATGTATACTAATCCCAGTAGCATGGTATTAATTCACAACAGTCAGTGAATTTAGACAGGGATATTGCAGAAATGTAACTAAAACATGACTACAATATGACAGCTATGCAATTACTACCCTTTTTTTCCCTTCAGATACTGACCAGGCCAAAATCACTATACGGGGTTCAGTTTGTAAGGCCAAGCTTGTGGTTTCACATCCTGGATGAAGCAGCCACCCTTTTCCTTGTGCCCTCCTCACTCTTCCCTTCCCAGGCTACTGTCTCAGTGATGCCACTGCATCTTAGTGAGGCTGTTGCGCAGGAAAATGATCCAAGTTCAAAATAACCATCTTGTGGGTTATTTTAGTCTGAATCAAATCCTTGCCTGGGTTCACTGCACAACCCTGCATGCAATTACGCCAGCACAGCTCAGGGAAAGATGTGGGACTAGAAACAAACAACATGACTTTGGGCTGCACAGGGCAGAGCTGCTGCCAAAGGAAACATTAGTGGAGCTGTACAGAATATTTGTTTGGAAACAGTTTTAAAGTGAAGTTTCAGAACACTTGCAGATGAAACGTGTTTAATTGGTGGGATAAAAGGCTGCAGCCAAAGTTAAGTCTGGCTTCTAATTATACAGAGTAAACAGATACAAAATTAGGCTCTGTGAAGTCTAAATAGGTAATTTCACAGTTAATATTTAACTACTGGATATTTAACAATAAAAAGCATTAAATGGTTTTAAATCCTCATGCCTGGCATGCTGCTCACCAAGCTACAGCCTACAATCGCTGTTCAGGAGTAAAGGGGTTTCCTGGGCGATGGTGACCATGAACTCCAGCATCTCCTCACCCAGTGTGAACACACACCAAAAATGGCTTTTGCCTAAAATGTCCCTTCTCACTTTTTCACATTATTTCCATTGATGATGCTGGGGATGGGAACCTTGGGAAGCAGAGGTTGTTGAGAACCATACCCTGTAGAAATCTGTTGTTTAATGTTCAGCACACAGGAATAATGCCTTTTGTTCAAACCATACGTAATGTTTTTCATCTGGCAGCTGTTTTCCCTGTAAATGATAAAACATTAAAACCTGAACTAAAAATAATCCTGTTTGCTGTTCCAGTTCAGGAAATTTCTATCAGCCAAGTTTTGCTGTTGTTTTTTTACTGACTGTTATTCCCAGTATTCAACTCAGCAAGTGCTGACTCTACAATCAGAGCTGGTTTCATACAACCTTCATTTACTGTCTTTTGGTTTTGGAAATAATGACAAAACATCAGTTGGAACACTCAGCCCAGGGTTTTCTTATCATGCCTGGAATAAACCAGCAGATGATCATCTGTGAGAGAAGATAATTCCATAGCAATGCACAGACCCCAGAAGTCGTCCCATATTCCCTAGCTGGAAGATCCTTTAGCAAGCTCGTAAGTTTTTGATGCTGGTATCTAAAACCAGCTGTAAAATCCAAACACCATTAGATGGGAAAAGTAGGAAACTATCAACATGAGAAACCTCTCAGGATGCATCCTGCACCCCTTTCCCCTTATGTTGGAAATGCTTCTCCCTCAAAATCAACATTCATTTTTCCACTGCAGTGATGCTGATTAGATACAAGCCCATGAGCTCATCCAGAATGAGTGTGTTGTAAGAACAATTTTATCCTGCAATAAATACTTAATACTTTAAGTTCTCACCTTCCCAAATCCTGGGCCATTCTCACAGGCATTAAACCAAGCCCTTTTCATCTTTCAGTAATTCTACATCTTTGTTATTCCCACTGTACTTGGAAGGAGAGTTTAATCTTGTTTCTTGTAAGAATTTGGCTTTCATCTCTGGTGAGAATCTGATAGCAAAAGGTTATATTAAGGAATATGTTCTCTTAAAATTATATGCCAGCATCCAAAGTAAATCTGTTCTTTAACAACTCAGAGAGCCAATACCTCCTTATTAGTTCCAAGGATAATGCCAGTTGTATAGATTACAAACGGAACTTGTCAGCAAAGATCACAAAGATAGTTTCAAGTTCTTTGCAGCAGAAAATACCAACACTATATCTGTATACAACACACCATAGATACAGCGCTCGTGTTCCTGCTCTGGGATTTCCGAGGGTGAAGGCAAACCCGGAGCTTGTAGAATAATCCTTGTTGGGAGTGGGTGCAGTGCTGAGATCTGTCCGGAGCGATGGGAGAAATCCCCTGGTTTCAGAAGGCTCCACAGCCTCACCTGCTGGCTGCTGTGCTCCCCACAGCTCCGAGGGCATGGAGAGAAAGCCTTTCAAAACAGTGCTTAATGCAGCATCGCACTGTAACGCCCCTCTTTGTGTCATAAAGAAAACTGGTAAACGTTTTTCAGAAGTATTATACAAAGTGCTCGATGGAGGTTCTTGTAGAAATGTGGCCAAGCTGAATGTGCAGCAAGTTAAAACTAGGCATTGCATTTCCTAAGCTGCCATAACCCATTGACCTCTTTTCGTACATTAGAAGGTGATAACCTTTACTTGCTGTTTGCATGGGGGAATTTGCTTTACTCAGCCTCTGTTTGAAGTTTTCTCTTCACTGTTCACTGGGTGATTTCTCCTTGCTCTGGAAAGGGCCACAATCCAGTGCTTTTCCATTATAACTTATGCCTCTTGAGCAGGCTCAGCACAGTGAACACTTGGCCAGTGGCTCTGAATCCACTGTTGTGTAGGAGAACATACAACTAATGTTTTGTGAGAGCTCATACAGAGCTGTAGGGATGTACAGGCTTTTGGGGGCATATTCAGGCTCCTCTGAATATCTCAACTTCGCTTCACACACAAATTGAGGACAGTTTACCAGTGTGTGCATAGTTATGAATTTATAGCTGTTCATATCATTGGGTTATTAAGAAGCATCTTATCTAGTGGTGTCTGTTCTCGCATGCTCTCATAGTTTTCTGTCATTGCACCTCCTTCAGTACTATCTGGGATGTCTGGATCTTGTTCTGTTGCTCTGTAACCTAGTTCATGAGTTTTGGCTCATCTTGCTGAATTGGTGCAGCGGGTGGCTGGAAGGTGAGTTGTTATTTTAGCTCCCAGTTCTAGGGTAGGTAAGGGCCCCAGAGTCTTATCTAAATTATACAGGAGAACATACTCCCTTTAGGAGCATTCCACTGGCTGAGGACTGTCCCAAAATACTCCTCTCATTTGTTAGGGGTTATGAATGGACTATCAAGGTAGCTGTGGTAGCTATATAGCAACTCAGACCTTTTTCACCTCCCTTGCTGTCCCCTTCTCTCTACAGCCAACAATCCATCCCTGTATCTTTATTTCCAGTTTGCGTTTGTGTGAGCTGCCCTACCCTTCTGTGGATGTCATTCACACACAGACAGAGCCTCAAGTGCTTACGGTCATGCAGTTTTTGAGTATGGAATAGGAAACAGTGCCTGTCTGTGCAGTTTGTTAAAATAAAGGGCTCGGGTGTGAAAGGCAGGATCCCTATCCCAATAAAACAGAGACATTCTTCCACAAGCAGGTTAGAAATGTGATTTTAGAGTTTAATTATTGCGTGGTTGGGGTGATGTGAAGTATTTCCTGAGAATTTCTGCTTCTCTTCAATGGCTGTTCAATGAAAACCAGGAGCTTCTAACTTAAACAAGTCAATCAGATGTCTGAAATAGATGGAGTAATGCCCCTTTAAATACATAGGAAGACACTGGCTTCCTTGTGTCATGTCCTTGTTCTGAAAGAACATCCTCTGTCCCTCCATTTCCACTTTGCTTCCAGCTACCACAGCTGGGTGATGGTGGCCACTTCTGCAGTGGGACCTTTATAATGTCCCTTTATGCTGTCTGTCTGTGATTCATCTTTAGGGAAACCTAAAAGAAACCCAAATAAACACACTCAGACAAAATAAATCCTCCTGGAGGTTCTTAACATGTTTGTGACAGGATTTTGAAGGGTTACAAAGACTTCTGAGGAATGAGAGTAGCCAAATGGATAACTGCTTTCCCTTTCTTCTCTTATACATGTCAAAGCTCCATCTGGTTTCAAGTATTAAACTTAATTGTCATAACTTAGCACCTGAAAATGCATCTGTAAATGAGTCAACCCATTGTCAGCAAAATCATTGGAGATTTAAATGCATCTCCCACTGCAAGTGTCAGAGATCTGGAAGGATATAAGAGAACCAGAAAGGGAAGGAGCAAACTCTCTCCAATGCTGTAATTCAGCTGCAGGAGGGAAGCTTGGCCCTTAGTCTTTCCTCTTCCCTGTCCCCCACAGCTGAACAAGATCCTTCATTTCCCTGCAGCAACTGGGAATTCTCTATTGCCAGGGAAAGAATGAGTCAGAAAAGCTGCTGCTGGTGACAGCTTCGCTGGCCTTTGCTCAACAGAGGCTTCACCACTTGTGTTGGAGTGTTTGGGGTGTTAATAGTTGTTATAAGTGCCTGGTATCGCCACTACCATCCTGGCTTTGTAAAAGAGCTTTTTGCTTGCCATTTATTTTAAGACTTACTGAACAAGCTCTCTCTGTGGGAGACATTTTAGGTATGCTCTTAAAAATGAAATAGAGCAAGCTAGTAAAAATGAAAATGCATCTCAATTAGATTATTCTTCCTCCATCTGCTCTCTCGGATCTTTTGATGACAGGAAATTGCCTATTGGATTTTTTATTTTGCTTAATGGAAATGGCAAAACCTAAATCCATTCCCATTCCTCCTGACATCAGGAGAAAGGAGGTTTGATGTCTGAACAGAATTCTTTTTTTCAAAGCCATTAGTGTCTGCTACTGCCTCTCAGTGAATGCAGTAATTGTAGCATCAGTGAATTTAAATTAACTGAAATACTTACAAAACTGCAGCCTGGCACTGACACTCCTGAACCTCCCTTCTGAAATCCCCACTTCTTTAATTAGCCATTTCTGGTGTGCCTCATTCTTCATACATGGAATTAAACCCACCGAGCTCCTCACATGAGTTAGGGCAACAGATTGCAACTGAATGGGGTTTCTAAAGGTAATGAGCTGGGGAAACCTGTTCCTTGCATTTTTAGGATGCTGGACTTCAGGAATTCAAACTCCTCCATCCAAAAGAGTGCTGTTTTCAAAACTGAAATGAATCCAATCCACTTCTGGATTCCTCCCTGTGCTTCCTCTCAGAGGAGGATGGATAAAAGCAGGTCCTTCCCGCTGACTCATTCTGCTCTATAAACTGGAGTTGAGGTTTGAGAATAAAGGCATTAGCCTGGCTTGTTAAAAAGCTATTTACCTGTGAGCTTGTAGTTCAGCACTGCCAGAATAACTACTGCAGTGTGCTGCTGTTGTGATTAGTAAGAATAATGGTAAACATACTTCACAGCATGAATGAGAGCATAGAGGCAGGAATTATCACTCCTCTCTGCAATCCCAAACCTCCTCTGCAGTATTCTCTAATGGTAGGTGGAAATAAGAGAATTTTATAAAATACAGAATAAAATCTTTAGTGGGACTTAATTACATGCTTGGAAAAGCTTCCAAGTTGCTGTGTTGTCTGGTCCTTCTCCTGCCATCTCATCTCTTTGAATCACTTTTGGCCTGTCCTGCTACTGACAGGCAGGGTATGGTGCAGGAATCTGTTCCTCTTCCACTCCTCACCCACATTAAGCAGTTGCTAATTGTATCGGGACATTGATGACTTTGGGAAATGAGGGCACTGTGTGCCTCACAGAGGCAAGTCTGGAGTTGCTGGAAGGTTTTTATCAGTCCATGCTTCTTCCATGCCTTGAGAACTTTGGAAGCAAACAGACCCTGCTTCTTATTAAACTGTTTCAGAGCGCGGTTTTGGTGAGGTTTATTTTTATTCCTTCCTTTGTTACACACCATGCTTTTCCCTGAGAATAATTTGTTAATACAAAGTGGAATTACTGAACTTTGTGATTTTGGTCTTGCTTAAACATTAGCTACCCCTGGTGAGGTTTATACAGATTACGTGGTTACACAATGGTACTGGGCTCCTGGAGTTAGAAGACCCCACACAGGGGAAATATATGTGGTTGGTTTGGTGTGTGGGGGGTGGCACCTGTAATTCAGCTGATATAGGAGAAGCAGTCTCCTGCATGTGAATCTCTGCACACAGTGCAACCTTAGCAAAGGAGAATACTCCTAGAAAAGCTAAATTAAAATGGTGACGTATAATGTGCCTAATACAAGGTCAAAGATACCGTTAGGCTCTGGTTCCAGATTCAGGGAAAGCAGAGCAAGGTTTATCTCTAAATACAGCACTGTTATTGTATAAACCAAACAGACAACTCATATTCATCTCTATGGCAGCCTGTGTTATCACCAGGTAACCTGTGCCCATCGTCCCTGCAGGCATTTTCCATCCTGTTCCCATCAAAACTGGCCAGCGGTGCTGGCACTTGGCCCCTGTGGTGATTGGCGACAAAGGTTGGCTGAAGAGCCCCTAAGGAGCAGCACAAGAAAAGTTTGTGTTGGAAGGGACCCTAAAGCTACTCCAGCTCCAACCCCTGCCACAAGCAGGGACCCCTTCCACTAGAGCAGCTTGCTCCAAGCCCCTGTGTCCAACCTGGCCTTGAGCACTGCCAGGGATGGGGCAGCCACAGCTTCTCTGGGCACCCTGTGCCAGCGCCTCAGCACCCTCACAGGGAAGAGCTTCTGCCTAAGAGCTCATCTCAGTCTCCCCTCGGGCAGGTTAAAGCCATTCCCCTTGGCCTGTCCCTGCAGGCCCTTGTCCGAAGCTTCTCTCCAGCTTACTTGTAGCCCTGTTAGGCGTTGAAAGCTGCACTAAGGTCTCCCCTTAAGGAGCCTTCCCTTCTCCAAGCCCACCTTCAAACCCGTGTCATTTAGAATGAAAACAGCAAACACGGCCCCACCTTCCTGAAATAAACGCGTGACCGGCGCGGCCGGGCGGGCTCCGGGCGTCTGCGTTATCGCACCGGGCCGCGAGCGGTTAATGGTGCTTAGGAAAACAGCCCCGCCTGAGGCGCGCTGGGCTCGGGGGCGGCCTCACCGGGGGCTGCGGAGGGGCAGCCCCCAAGATCCGGTGCTCTGTGCGGCCAGCGCTGCGCAGCGGGCCCGGCGCGGCTCCGGAGGACAAAGCGGGCCGGGCACCGCGGCCGCGCTCAGCCCCGCGCCGGGCGCCCCACTTCCGCCTGTGCCGCTAGGCCCTACTGCCATGGCAACGGGCGGGGCGGTGCCGCGGTGACGTCAGACGCACGGGTGGGCGGGGCTCCGGTTCGCCTCGAAAGGGCGCTCCCCGGTGGCGGGCGCGGGTCGTGTTTGTGTCGGTTCTGTCCTCGGTAGCGGAGCCTTTGGGCCCAGGGAGCGAGGCCTCAGGTAACGGAGGGCGTTCAACAGCGCCGGGCCGGTGAAAGGGGAGCTGGTGCCTCCGGAGGCGGAGCCGCGGCGTCCCTGCCCCGGTGTCTGCAGGAATGAATGAACACGTACATAAAGCGAGGGAATTAATGTGGATTCCTGAAGCAGGGGGGTCAGGGGCTCAGGAAGGTGGGGTTGGAGTCGGGGTACATGGAAATTACACCCTGAGTATGCTGTGAGGCTGCTTCCAGCTCTGTGGGTTAAATCAGCTCCTGGATTCTCTTACTGTAGCTCTGCTTACATGCGCCTATATAGAACCTAAGGACGCAGTCATTTATTTCCACACGACCTGGTGGATTATCTTTGATCCCGCGTGGTTTGGGAAGAAGGATCCTCTCCTGAGGAGCAGCATAGCAGAGTTTACCCTTCCCACTCCCCTCATATGCTCCTCGGTGGCTGCTGCAATGAATGAACAAAACCCATTTCTAACAGGTGACTTGGCCTATTCATTTCCCTGATTTTGGAATCTTGGCTCTCCCTTCCAAGGTATTCACTTCCCCACTCAGTTTGGTGTCATCTACAAACTTACCAGGGTGCACTTGATCCCATCATCCAGATCCCTTGAACAGTGTTGGGCCCAGCGTTGATCCCTGGGGACTGCACCTGTGATGGGAGCATCGGTGGGATGTAAAGGAAAACGTGTGTGATGGGAGGGGGAAGATCCAGAAGAGAGGATCATTTGGTGGCAGCCGTTTCTCACTAGTGTGCGGAATGGTGTTTATTTGTGGGGGAATGAGTTTCTAATTGCCCAGCCTCGTGGAATAGCTTGGTCCCTGCAGGATCAGGATTATGTGTTCCTGCCCTCGTATCTCACTTTTAGCGTCTGAATATTGTCACTGAGGTGGGACGTAGGGTTAAGAGCGTTGAGAGCCCAAGTCCTCACAGCAGATCCCGACTGCCTGAGGCACCGATTCCAAGCAGTGCTCTCTGGTCAGGGGCTATCCCAGCAACCCGGCTGCAGCCCGTGCTTGGCACAGACTTCATCCGGCAGCAGTGAGACAAGCTTCGTGCTATATTAAACCCCAGCACACGGATTGCCGGCGGCAAGAGGATGAAGACGACGTTTATTTCTGTCCCTCCATTACGAGTCTCGTGGGGTTTTGACCTCCTTAAAATCGTCTCGGAGAGAAGCAAGGAGACACGTGGAATCGCGTCCAAAGCTCCACCGAGGAATCAGGCCATGGCTTCAGAGAGACCTGCCCCGTCTGCGGCGATAATGGGGCTAAAAACAGTGAAAATGATGCATTGCTTCCCGCTGCGCCCGGCAGCCTCCCATAGGAACCCGGTCCTGGAGCCGAGCGCCGCCTCTCCGCCTCTATGCGCGGAGGTAGCGCCTCCCCCCGCGCCGCGGTGGGCCGGCCCGGCTCCGGTTCCACTTCCCCCCCCCGCCGCGCCGCGCCATGGGCCGGCCCAGCGGCACGGCCCGGCCCGCCCTCCGCGGAGGGAGCCGCCATTGCGGGTTGTTTGTGCGGCTGGCGGAGGGAGGCGGCGCCGCGGCCGCGGACTCGTTCCCCGCGGCCATCATGTCTACCCCGGCGCGGCGCAGGCTGATGCGCGACTTCAAGAGGTGAGCGGGACCCCGGCACCGCCGGCTGGGGCCAGGGCCAGGGCCAGGGCCGTGTTGGCACTGAGGGCAGCACCGCCCGGCTGCGGGCCCGAGGCCCTTCCCCGCACCGCCGGGGCTTCCCCGGTGGTCCCCGCAGGCAGCGGCGCTGCGAGGAGCCGCATCCGCAGGTCGCGGACCGCCCGTCCGGTCTCGCTCCTTCGTGCTGAGGCCGGGGCCTGGCACCGAGCTCCCGTCCCCCCCGGGCCCACCCTCCGCGGCGGGGCAGGGGTGCGGTGCGGGCCGGCCGCTGCGCCCGTTCCCCGCAGGGAAGCGACCCCCGGGGACGGGCAGGGGGGTCCGGCCGGGCAGGGCCGGCTTTGTTCGCGCTGGGCTCCGCGGCGCCGACGGCTGGGGGCGTCTGAGGATAGAAGTTGAACGGCGCCTTCAAAACAAGGGCAGGCCCTGAGCGGGGCTCTCGGGGTACCCCCATAGGGCCCGGCGGTGCGGAGCCGGGCGCCGTGCTCCTTGCACCCGCCTCCTCGCACAGGAGTCCCGGTGCTGGGCCCGGGTTTGTGCGGAGCCCGAGCTGAGGTGTACTGGGGGCTTGTTGGGTTCAGGCCTCCCCGAAAGTAGGTATTTGGGACGGGCAGCTGGAAACGAAGCACGAAGAAGTGGTAAACACATCATTTGGTGCAAAACAAAACGCCCTGTAATGTGTTTATGTGCATGCTGCATCGTCTGAAGCTTTAAAGTCGGGAGGAATCTAGTATAACATATACAGACTGCTGAAGAAGCAGTTATTACTTTGCTCTTTTTAGTGTTAATGACCGAACCACAGACTCTGGGCTAATTAATTTCCAGCCTGACATGTAAACACATGTAGAGCATGTGGGAAAAGGTTGGGGGGGTTCTCCTGTAGCTGTACAGCATGGTGTACTGCTCTGGGGCCGCCCAGGTTGTTGTTGGAGGTGAGTCAGCTTTGATATCACATCTTTTTTTAGCATAGCTCTGTTATCCCAGCACCTGAAAATACATGGGTAAGCAGTTGACATGTGTTGTAGTTGCTTCATGGGATTGCTCGCAGAGCCCCAGTGATGGAGCTTTGAGTTGTGGACCTACAAGGAGTTGGATGCTTTGGGGATGTGGGGCCTTCACCTTGGCTCTGGGTGTTGATGTTTGCTGAGCAGGTGTTGCTTGACTCCGGTTCAGCCCAAACCAGGATGTTCATCTGGTTTAATGTGTTCTGTTGCCCCGATGACGTGACCAGGGATTTTGTGCCAGGGCGAGGGACTAAGTCGCTTCACGAGATTGCAGTCAGATGTGGGGGGATGAGTTTATGATTTTGGCAGGATTGGTTTAATCTTGCAGTTCAGGGTGTGGAGGAGACTTTGCAGCTGTGGAGAGCCCAGCCCAGTAACCAGAGTAAAGCAAATTGATTTAGCAAATATCTGACAACTTTGATCCCTCAAAGCTTATGCAACTTCTTCATGTCAGGGTTTTGTGACTCCTCTCTTCCGTACCATAAGCTGTGTATTGGGTCATCCTAATGTTACTTGTACCTCATGCTGAAAAGCAAACCGTGTGAAGTCTGCTTCACTTTGTTAGATGTAAACTCCTTTTGCATGCTGTGCTTGTCAGGAGCAGTGAGGAGGGAGGAGTTCAACAGATTTTTATATCCCCTCTAATTTATTTGACTTAAACCAACAGCAAAATTCATTACCTTTTTTACCGTCGTTGTTATTGCTGCTAAAAAGGGGCCGCAAAACTGCATTTTCCCGAGCTGTTAAAGGTTTCCGAGCACTTTTTGGATCTAACTTCCAATTTCCAGCCCTGGCCACAGCCTTTCTGCAGTTAGCCCTTCTGACAGCAGGGTGCACATGAGCTTTTCAGTCGGGCTGAAACCCAAAGCCATCCCTCAGATGTGTTTGTCAGGCTGAAGGCTTAGGCATTGCTGTTGGCAGGCAGCCTGGCTGTCAGGGAGGAAGAAGTCGCGTTCCTGCTCTCCCGGACCAAAATAGAAGGGGATTTATACTGTTGGGACTGAGCTGTCCGAACTGTGTGTGCTCGGGGAGCCAGGATGTAAACACGGTGCTTAGATGGCATCTGAGCACAAACAGAGCGAGCCCTGCTTCTGGGTGTCACCACAGGGCAATGCCATTGCTTAGTGTCCACATCACATCCAGTTTTATCACAGTGTAAGTGCAGGACACCAGCACCAGCCCTGGATAAACTTGCACTTACGCACTGATGTTTAGTTAAGAGTTTGTCCCTTGGCCTGCAGGGCTGTTGGTGGTGCTGGTTTCCTACAGCCAAACCTCAGGTTAATGCTCCACAGTGGCTGTTGGAGCAGGGGCAGCCACTGTGTTTTCTGTGTTCTCATCTGACTCAAGAGGAGCTGTCACTGAAGTCAAATTGCACCATGGCTGGGGCTTGCTGGTTTACACCATTCAGGGTCCTTGGTGTGCAGAAGGATCTGGATCCCATGCCTGTTGCGATACATATTTCGGTGTGACCTGGGTTGATGTGGCTTGCAGTAAATAATGTGCTTCTCCCTAGTCCAGGGATTAAGGAGCTAAGAAGAACTTTAAAAGCTTCCATGGTTACTCTAGAGATAAACACATCATCGAGCTGGTTAGAGGGATCTGGACACAAGTTTTCCCTTTGCTCCCTTTAAAAGCAATCAGCTTGCTGGTCCAAACAGCCTTATACTGAATTTAGCCACATTGCACACATGGATCTGAGAGCAGGCAAAGCTCCATTGACAGTCCCTTGCACTTAGTCCCAGTGAGGGTGTGTAGAAGTGTCACTGGCTGGTTCTTGGCTCCTATTTGTGGCTGCAGTTGGTTCTCTTCCTCACTGTGGCAGCCAGCAGTGGTTGCTCTTCCATGGTTCATGATGTAGTACTGTAAATTCCAGCTCTATGTGGTGCTTTGATATTACTTTGCTCCCTGCACACTTAACCTGTTGAGCTGTTGTAACATAATGGTGTATGTGCATTGTAGGCTTGTCTTTTGGAGTATTCATCACCTGCA